GAGTGGCGTTCCTAGCGCACACACCCGTTTTGATTCTTCTGCTACACATAACAACACAATTAACTTGGATCACGTCCATAGTTTGTAATGTACAAATTCGACTATCGGCTATCCACATTCCCAAAAATTGCCAAAGTCTTCCATCTGTCCTGGTGTTCCCCCCAGTCAATCCAACACGCATGAACAACATCATCCACCATCAGGCAGAAAGGTTTCTCCTAGATGGGCTGTCACCGGGAGTTTAGATATAGCTGTACTGGTTGGAGGCCTTGAGGCTCAGTTGTCTACGCAAACTGTTATGATGTTAGGATAGCTAACCCGCAGTCGGCACCTTCCAAGGATAAAGTCTCACTTTGGGAGTTTCTTTCTCCTATACCACTTTGTAAATCCAGGATCAGAATGCTCGATTTTTGATCGCTTACTTGATTCCAGATCACTTATAGGAACGACTCCTGAAGAAAATGGACGGTCATGATGGGGCTCAAGTGTACTTGGGCATTTGTACTTTCCAGTCTAAAACTTATATGGTTCTATTTATTTGCATTTAGAAGAGAAAATTTTGTCTATTTTGGCACCTATATTTCCGAATGATTCTGTATTGAGTAGCTAAAAAATACTCAATCGTTTACAATATTTTTCCGGTGTCCAGATTAAGATGCCTAATCCTCAAAAGCACGTTTCAAAACAGATACAACATAACACAGGAACAGCACTCATTGTGCTCTTAGTTTCGAGCTGCTTGCCTGGCAACAAGTCGAGCAAACCACATCCGGTGTGTCAACCCTACTTTCGACGACCTTTTCATCATGTACGAAATGCTCGCCATCCATTAAGTAGGAAATTTGATGTGTTGGAAACCAAGTATCGATTCTTCCAAGTATTTGAGAGTAGAGGTGTTCTGGCGATCGACACTGCGTTTCACTCAAAGTGCCGTTAAATCCACTCAGATTGTACGACAAATATTTTGATAAAGTGCCGCAAAAATTGGTTTGGGTAGTGTACAAGATGTTAAATACCGATAATTTCTTGAAACTATTTCCGCAGCTGCATAAAAAACAGACTTTTAGGTAGTTGATGGCTCTTATTGGTCTTCCAATTTTAACAGAGATGCAGATTATCATAGATATGCTGCTCTGATTGGGCGAGCTAACTCTTATAATCGACCGTAATTTAGAGAAAAAGTGGTTAAGTCTGTACAACAAAATGATGGAGCTAAGAAGTCGAACAAGCTAGAGCGTGTTTACCTGTCATACTTGGTTGGATTTCTAACACTCTTCTATATGAGGTCACCAGATATTTCACTGAGAGCGGAACTGGTTCATGCCTTAATTGTGAGCCTAATTCAGAAGGTCTGCCTAATGCGGTTAACCGAAGACGCGCGCAAAAGTATGAACTGCGAGAAGCACTGCTGTTACCAAGTTTTGTACCAGTGTTGCGGAATTCGTGGAACCACTTTGTATCATTTGCTTGGATTTGACCGACGAATGAGTGGAGTCAATGAATCTCCAGGAAATTCCAAGAGGACGCGTTTGGGAGAAGATGGGTGTCCAGTTTTTGCAAACAAGATGCAAATTAGAGGTTTGCAACCGGTCAGTTGGCATTTCCTAATAAATAGCTCCGCAGCGAAGGCCTTCTTCCTTTCACCAGTAGAACTAAATTTTTACTTCCCACAGAAATACTGGACTCCATAGTAGGGGTGTAATATGCAAGTGAATAAACTTGTGGGTCAGTTAGTTGTATACATCTGAACCAACCAACATAAATTTTTGGAAGGAAAGCCTTATGTCAGAGTCTACTGGCAGAAAAAGACATCGCAAATTACGATGCTGAATCTGCACTGTTTTTCAAAAGGCATACTTTTGCAAATGGGCAATAAAGCCGATCTATTCCACCATAATCCTGAAAGTTGACAAACGAGCGAGTGTGGTGATGTAGGCGACCATAGTTGAAAATAAATTTGAAAACATAAGAACCCATCACGAACACTGCTTTGCCAAATGAATTCAATTTATAATTATTGATTTGTCGTTCTCGGAACTGAGTTACCGGTCTCATAATTCCACACCAAAAATATGAAATTCTACTTGTGATTGCAGCACTACCGTAACAAACCTAGTATGCCAGTACTCGAATGAAAATAAGGTGTGATATAAGGTAATTCATAACCTCCCCCCAACTATTGGAAATTGATTGAAACATGTCTCTGGATCCACCCAGCCGGTACAAATAGCGGGAAGCCTATGCTGTATCAAAATGATGCTCTTAATGTACGCGAATTGTGTAGCGTCCCATGGGGACACATAAATTACATCAATAAAGCTTCTTATCTCATTATCTCATTTTTGAATTCTGAAACTCTTCTCTCTAGTATTAAAACAAACGAGCTTCTTCGTTCGATAAACTTCTCTAATTATCGCAAGCTACCTGTTATGACTTTGGGGTTTCTTAGAACTGATAAAACAATTTCATTTTACTCGGCAGCAGATGGATTATTGTAGATGTGTTGGTAATGATCCATGGTTTTAAAACTCAGGACCGATTCTGAGGAATTAACAGCCTGGCAATTCACAGATATTAGCTACTAAAACCTTCGGAATATCAAAATATCAAAATGCATTCGAAGTATTATATTTTAGCATAAAGAACTGGAATGAAGGTCACTTCCAGGAGACGCGTAAAAAATCAAGGCAAAATGAAATCCGGGATTTTAAAGTAAGTTGCGATTGCTTCCAGAAACTAATATAAGATTTCCATGGGATAACGTGTGTTACTCGAAAGGACTTGATGTTGGGGGCCAAAGATTGTTAGCCCCCTTACTAAGGCATTTAGTAAACTTAATTTAAAGTGCAGCATGTCGTGTATACTTTGAAAAAACGCAACCAATTGAGGTTACGCTCAACACTAGTCTTTTTTGGCAAACTCCGAAACACGGACGTTTCAATGCAGTTGAGATGTGATGAAATAAATGGAAATAACTGTACACTGACTCAGCCTGCCTGAATTCAACTTAAAAAATCTTTTCTATGCCGTATCGCGTACCGCAGGATCAAGTTTCAGCGTTTATTTTACAAAAGTTTAAGAGTTCTTCCAAATCACCATTCAACCGTGATTGACTCCTACTCACTGGATGAATTTTTCGCAAGTTTATTTGGATCCAAATTCCATGTGATGCTCAAATATGCGTTGTAAATTCAAAACCTTTGTTACAAAATGATGCACTGGGATGCCAAAAAACCAAGATTCTTGTTTCTCTTTTCTTGAGATTGCCGAATTGTTACTGTTTGTATTTTACAGCTTTGGTACTACAAATGTGCCGAAACGAAATGAAATTAACTTTTTTGTGACAACGCAAATAAGAACAATCGTTTTCACCCAAACGTGACACAGACTGCCTTAGAATTTGAACTGACCTTTTACTTGTTCTTCCGTGCGCGTATCTATATAAGCGCATATAAAATTAACTCACATTAAAAAAGAGGAAGACTAATTTAAGGATGATTTCTTTGCTGGTGATCTGTGTTGCATTTGGGCTGCAAGATGTCGTCTGTAAGTCAGTCCTTCTGTGTTAATGAATAGTGATCATTTTATGGGTCGCATGGAGGAGGCTTGCCATATATGACGTTTTATCGTTATTTTGCAAGAATCTACGTAGACCTGATTTACACAACATCGTGCACTTATTTAGCTAGACTTTTATGACAATTTTCCGAAAGCGAGTGACCTACATGACATTCTGTACAGATATTTATATGAAGAGAGGGATACAATAGTACGTAGTCTATAAATGATATATAACATAATACATATATTCGAACCACCTACGTTCATTTTTAACCAAGAATATGATAAATGAATTATTGTCATTAAGGTGGCTACACTTTCTTCATATACGTAAATCATCAACCCAATAACATAAAGCCTAGTAAACAACTGTTGGAATGCCCTACTAGTGCAAGGAAGAAGACCTTCGTTGCAGGGTCACTTATAAGAAAATGCCAACTGACCGGTTACAGACCACTGGATATGGAAGCAAAACTCTCAGTTGCATCTTATTTGTAAAAACTGGATATCCATCTTCTCCTGAACGCGCCTTCTTGAACTTTCCTGGATGTTAACTGACTTCATCGCTCAAATCCAAGCAAAGCCTACAAAGCGACTCTACAAATTCCGCAACAGATCTCCCCTTTTCAAAAGATGCAAAACGAAATTACACGAAAAACACCTACTACTCGCGTGCCTCCCCATCAGCAGTATCACCGTTACACTAGGGCATATGGCGTTCGAGACCATGTTCAAGAACATTTCCAGAGAGGGTTTGTTATGACCACAATCGAGAGCCTACATAATGAATGGATTTGTCAAACCTCATAAAGAGCTCGGCTATGGTTTGTGATTAAAAATCAAGCCTAGAATATAGTGTATGCCGAAATTATCGATTTCGTATTCCGTAACAGCAGTGGGAAACAGGAATGAAAATCACTGTGCCCAAAGCACTCTATTTTCCGTTTTGTGGCGAGACGTCTTACAGAGGTCTTCATTGAAGGCGTTTGTCCAGCTGGCTTAGCTAACACCAGAAAACTGACTGAGTAGTGTATGTTCCGCGTTTTTTGTACTCAAATTTTTCTTGAAACTCTGAAAATTATCACCGCTCCTTGCAGCTGGCCCTCCAAGAAGTAAGTATTTTTGCTTTCTTTCAATGTCTGTCGCATTATAAATTGGAAGTTTTGCTGAGCAGTACAGTCGGTAACCTCACCAGTGCCAAAGAATCGAAACATAAGTTTTGTGCATCAGATGAAATCACTCGTTTTACAAGGCAATAACGATTTCCGCCTACATTACATCAGAATATGAATTCTCGAGCCTAATAATGATGAAATTGTTTCAAAATGAATGAAATCAAGTTTCGCATGACAGTCCAACATATTTCAGTTTGAAAGCATACAGTCTTTACCAGTCCTAATGTGAGCACTAAATAACATTTGATAATTCATTTACTACAGGACCCACTTGTAGCCATGTGCTAACGGAAGAATTCGGAGAAATCAAATCGCCAAACTATCCGAATGCTTATCCTGATAATCTCATCTGTTCATGGACAATTCGAAAACCACAAAATCGGAGTGAACTTATCTTTCTTAGTTTTGACGTAAGCATTTTGTGTGAATTGAATAAAACAAAGAAAAATATATTTCTTTTTAACTACGACTGTGGAGTGTACAGTGAGGTTCCTTAGCTGTTCTGTTCACCAGTATTCCATCTCTTACTGTGTCTACCTGCGGCCCAGCTGTACCGGACGGTATCCAAATTTTACGTGCATTCGCCTAGGGTAGTACAAACGATCTTCACTCATGACTTCATTCTATACAGGCGTTAGCTGCGGTCAAAATACAGTTCTGATTGCTTCGAGGAAAAATACATCTAAGTGAGCAACAGAGAAGTATAACGCAGTTGTTTCAAGTAAAAGATAGTGATAATTCTTTTTCAAACGGTTCCAAAAGCCATACTGAAACAGGTAAACACCGGAAAGTATTTAAACAATAAGACATGCTCTGTTCCGCTGCCATTGCAGCCCCCCAGTTCTGTCAACCGGTCATTGCATTTAGCCAACCCGGTCGCCCGAAATGGTCGTAGATATATTTGGTTAATACCATTTTAACTGATAAATAGTGAAACTCAAGACGGGTGCACAAATAAGCCATCCATATAAACCAAAATTGTCCGGGAAAATAGTAGTCACTCGATTCGGGTGTGTACTCTGCTATTAAACAAAACTAAGCGAGGCAATGTTTGGAGTTGAAGCTTACCAAAAAGATGCAACCAGTCATGAACTTTGTTTTGCTTTCGAAAAATGCACTTATTTGGAAATCAATTTTGTCTTTATGAGAGACCCATCTGAATCGCTTGTTTGTGATATTCTACAACTTGGGTTCAAGTAGAACATAAGGTTGAGGAAAACTCGGGGGCTGCGCCTACCTGATGAGCCCCAAGAAGGTTGAAACCGGTCATGGGCTGTCGAATAGTTTCCAGCAACCTTTGTTTTGTTTCAGCCCACGCACATTGAGTCCAAAGAGAGCACGCCAAAAGAATCCATTGCCCACCCTTTTTCCTCTCACAGCCTTAAGACCTAATTTTGGATGTAACGTCAGGCCAGATATCTGTGTTGGTATGAAAATTAGGTGCAGAACACCAGGATATCAGAAGTATTCACAACAATTTACGAAGCACCATATTACAAAATGTGTTTACTAAATCCTACAGTTTGCCAGGAATCCAATCTGAGAGATACGTGAGACAGTAGTTCTCTTTTTTGCAAGCCTTCCTGTACTGGACCTTATGCTGCACTAAGTTGGCTGCGTTGTGGAAGTTGGCTAATGCGCGCTGATCACTTTCACAAACAGGTCGAAGAATCCTACGATGGAAGAAGATGTCGATTTGACGTTGTTTTTATTCAAGTTGGAACCCATAACAGACGAAAAACCTACGGACCTTTATGCGGCCAAGATATACCAGGACCGTTCCAGTTTGGAGAGGAGGTTTTGATCACCTTCCTGACCGACAGAATAGGAGCATACAGCGGATTTCACGCATTTTACAGAACGGGTACGTTGTGTCGTTTGTGTGCAACTTAGCTTTCTACATAGAGCCTGATGAATTACTACACAATTGTCTGCCTTTTTATCAGAAATATCGTTTTGAATTCTTGGCTCGATGGCTTGTGTATTTGAAAAGGGGCAAGTTTTCCGCTCTTTTCTGTTATGTTTTACCGAGTAACTTCAAGTCACTTTGCAATGAAATGCGATGAGTGCGAAAGACCCTTCGTTGAATCGTTATCCTCTTACTTCTTTAGATAGCACACCAAATAATTGGTCTTCAAAATGCACGGATATTAGTTCGTAAATCTTTAAACAATTATACTTTTGAATCACATAGAATATTGTGAACAGAGTAGCAGCATCAACCCTCAGGCCAAACCGTGTAAACACACCTTTGAACCAAGAAAAAGCCGACTGTATGAGGAGTGAAGCAATCAGAATCTTAAATGGCCCGCACCCCCAATTGAAATTTTGCAAGCACTGATGATCAGCAGTTAAGATTGGTCGAACTTGAGCACCTGATCTGTACATAGCTAGTCAGTTGTTGAATCACATTTTGTTCCCTCTGAACTAAATCACCGTACTGAATTATCATGAAAATGTATATTTGTTCAATCGATAGGCGCCTATTTCAAAGTTGAATACCCAACCAGCGTTACCCACGCACGCCTCGGTCCAATATTTAGCCAGCTTTGCCTAAGCAAGATATGTGCAGAAAGTCGGTATCTTGTTTACGGTCTAAAGCTAATTATTTTTGAACCCTTTTCTTTATATCAGTCGGATCGGACATCGAACCCAGCACTCCAGTACCGAGTAAGCTCTGAAAGATGTTATGTTTTAAAAATATTTGTAATGAATTACGAGTACGAAAATATTCATAAATGATTTGCGACCATTGTTCAGAGCATAATAGTTTAGGAATCAGGGGTGCGAAAGGAAATTTCGTAGTTTGGATGTTAACCAGTGGACATGAGTAGAATAAACAAGCACTATTCAGGTCTTAGCATTTGAAAATTCGTTCCCTTGTGGGACGTTTTCTGGTGTATGCAAGGATTGTTTAGTCCAAATTGAATTTCCTACGGGACCAGCAACCGAATCATATGGAAGAATCAAGCGAGTAATATTTGTTCAAATCGATCGTCAATCTGATTCGCGTACTCAGTTAGGGGACGGCCGCCGTCCTTTGTAGGGAATGATTTGCTCATTAATTTAAACTTTCTGTATAGCTAGTTATAATGAATTAAACTGCGTGTTACCAATAAGTCCATCAGGAGTTTTGTGTCTCAGTATAAATTAGACCCTACCGGTTCAAACACAACATATGATTGCACCGGAATTAAAAAGCGCCCATGTCCTTTGACATAGCTCAGCTGTTCTTAAGTCATACAGCTAGAATTTCTAATATCAAGTTAAAGATGGCCAAATTCAATGATTTTCAGTACATGGTAAACTAGATCTACCAAATTAAAATGTTTCCTCATTCCTTTGGGGGCGAATTCGTCGCAAATTCGAACAACAGGACTAATTGAAACCGTATTGTGCAATCAGAGACTCACACCGTACAAGAAATAAGGCAGTATTTGTTTCATACGTTTATATTTTAGGGAGTTGTGAGTACACCGAAATGGAATTGGACAACATCAGTAAGTTAGCTGCATAAACCGTCATTGGAATATTTCGCACTGTTCATGCTGCAGTATATCCATACCGAACATGTTTTCTAAAACGTGGAGATCACACAATCTGTCAGGTGCTTACAGTGTACCTTGCTGTGCCAAATGGAATGGTTTACATTAGCTGAAGTGGCCTTTTTCTAGTGTTTAATGGGTCCGAGTTTTTTTAATATTTGAAGGAGAATAAATTTTGATAAACATCCTGAGCTACTCAGGAATTCTAAATATACTGACATTTTTGAAACACAGCAAGCAGGAGTATGTGAACCTGCTGCCTACGAACATCAAATGGTGATTTCCAGTTCTGAAGGCCAAAAGTATTCGCATGAGCTACAGATAGATCGTAAAGAACACCACAGTACTCAGACGAATAACTTGTCCCCCTACCTCTAGGTATTTCTTCAAGGCATGAGAACAGACATTTTTTATTACCAGATTTTTCAACCTCTAACTTTTAGAGTTACCAGTCTGTGGCTTTCAGCTATCTAACGAAAAAGGAGCGAATGCTTAATACATGTGACAGGCTAATTAAGAATGGCGTTATCCGGCTTTAGAAAGTAGAATAGCTGGAAAGCATACAACATACCAATTCTGATCGATGAATTCTACAAGGACGTGGTAAGGTCCAAAGCAATGGTTCAGGATTCCAGTGAATCTATTCTGACCTCAGCAGCCACTACAGGGTCAGTACAGACTACAATGTTCGCTTTGCTGGATGAAGATTTGTAAGGCACATTTTCAATTCATCCCCACGGAACTCAACCTAAATACCAGATGCTTACAGTATGAGCTCATCATTTCGTCCTACACATAGCAGCGCAGCAGTCACTAACGCAGTCCATATATTCAGCAGTTACCCAGCCAAGCCACTCCATTTTCACAGATAATAAAACCTATCATTTCTTTCTGCCACAAAATTAGCTCAGTGCGACTACCATATTGCTACTGAGAGTGGAATAATCACTTCGCCAAACTATCCACAGGACTACGGAAACAATCTGCACTGTTCTTGGATGATTATAAAACCGAAAAACCCAAGTCTTCTGAGGTTCACTGACTTTGAGGTGAGTCATTTCAGGATTGTTTGCAACGGTTGCTCCTGTCTGAACGTCAAACTCACCGCAGTAAGTACACTATGCGATAGCTGTGGTAACTAACTACCGCAATCAACGTGCGAATGTGCTGTGATTTAAGTCTACCTCTATATGTCCGTAGGCTTAGTTTGCCATGAACTGCCACAGCTTTGAGTCTCTTCGGATACTGTCATCAGATGCAAAATAGTTAGAAATTCATGAAGTCATGGTAGACTGTTAATGCGCGACATGCACTCAAGAGGAGGAACCCATGTGTTACAATTCACTCCCGCCTGATTGCTAAAAGTGAGAACAAACCGACTTCAGAACAACACTGAAACAGAAGGACGAAAATCTACTGATGTTCTTCATTTGGTATGACTTTATGAACTTTTCGATTTGTGTTTTGCATAAAGCAACATCTGACGCCTAATGAAACGCACTGCCCCTCGGTAGCTGTGGACAGTCATAAATAACCGCATTTTTGGGTGAAATCAAGTTCAGTCGACTTATTTTCATCAAGCTGCATCGTACGCAGGCACCAATCATAAAGCACTTTCAGTGAAGGCGCCGCCGGCAAAAATTGGCGTTCCCGGCCGTGAACATGATAGTGTGAACGTCCTCCTTCACACAGTTTGAGGGAGTTTAGCATCAAAAACTACAGAAATTGAGTGGAAGTTGTCGTCACCCCAACGTAGTGCCTTATCGTGTTTGAAATTGATTCCTTTATCGTTTGCATGTTTGTGGCAACAACCTCTGTAACTAGCAATATAATTTGGAATGTGAAAAATGCTTTCTGCAGTCAGGCAAATTCAAAACTTCATGCTAAGCCATGGCTTATTCTTGATTATTTTGGTACCGAATAGAAAATTGACAAATTCGCGATCATTTACAGGTGGAAGAGGTAAACTGGGGTGACCGCTGTCAGTTCGATTATCTGTACGTGTTTGTCGGAACCGGCGTTCACGTGACCTCTTACGGACCGTTTTGTGGCAATATTCCACCAGAGCCCATAAAATATTCCGACGAAGTACAGATTACATTCACAACCGACAAGAATGAAACGCGCAAGGGCTTCGCTGCGGAGTTCGGACCAGGTGAGTGGAACGGGCCGTTGAAAGTTATGCTTAAAATATCCGCGCGTGTTCTCACTAGCAAAGCAAAGCGGTTTTGCATTTGTAACACTCAAGTAATTATGGCGAAAGAAACGCTGCAACAAAATCGACCAGCCGGTGAACCGGCATTATATTTAACCACCTTAAACCTGACCAAAGTGCATGTATCTTAAGTGAACCCCAAGAGCTGAGTTAGCAAAACGGAGTTCATAGCAGATTTCATGCATTTTATGGGTCACGTATGTAACTTATTTTGGTACAATTGAGTTTTCAGCCAAGAGCATGATGTATGGATGCGTAAGCCGTTTGAATTATGCGAGTCATTGGTGAGTTGTGGTGAGGACAAAACACCCTTACATTGGCTGCGTAAATTCCATCAAGTGAACAAATTGTCTAGTAGCGCGCGGAGTCACAACCTTAGCGCACCTGTCATACGTAACCCAAATGGTCGGAATAAATTTTCCGATCACACATATAATTTTGCCAAGTAATTTGTGCTCACTTTCCTAACAGATGCATGGAGTCTGGATAAAAGCCATTCATTGTTGTAGTGCGCTGTCGTTTGTAATACTGTATAAAACACTGTACAAACACTGTGTGAAATACTTGCCTGTCAAACTTCCAGCGTTAGGCATACTATCAATGGACGAGCCCATTTGCGTGTTACGTGCTAGATAATATCTGAAGCGTGATCCATTCGAAACAGTTGGTTGATGAATATTCTCAATATAATTTTTTATGTCAGAAGAGGGTTGGACCACAGTTTTGTGCAGAACGTATCTAAACTTATACCATTTATACACAAGGTGGGCGAAAAACATTTACTACGAATTCCTACACCAAATGCTGTAGATCACTGTTCCAAACACGCCAGGATACTTGGCTGATAGCAAGGTTCTCTCAAATCTTCGTAATCTGTTTGCAGAATTGTATTTCACAGGTTGGTCTCATTTTCCTGTCGCACTTCTCATTGATAGGATAAAAAACGCCTGGGCAAGCCTAATGACACTGGACATATCGAACTTTCCAGACATTTATTCGTGTCGCTTAGACACCGGAAACTCCCGATTTATAACTTTAGAATAGTATGAACAATCGACAGCTGAAGCTCCTGCGGGTGATCTGCAGTTTACCTCTGATTTGCCGACACGAGTGAAATATCCTGATGTATGTGTGTTTGGTAAATTTTCACGAAACGATCATAACTAGGGAATCATCCTCAGACTATCAGTTGCCTAAATTTCACGTGTGCACCAGAGATGTGTTTTCTGTTGGGAGTATGCTCTCAACGACACAATGTGCCTTGTTCAAACCGTTCGAGCTTGTTGGTGGTGCTGTCACACGAACCGCGGCTATTTACACTGAAATGTTCTCATAAGCTTAATTACTCGAGTACCGAAAGCTCAACGTATCTGAAATGGCAAGTCAAGTGTGAGGTTAACATACTCAAGGCCCTGAGCTTTTTGCAAGCAATGTTCAGCTGTTATGTCAGGTAACAGAATAAACAAGACCGGATGTTTTAATCCACGCTCTAAGTGTATTTTTCGGATGATCATGCGTACGTTCTCGTCCACTGTAATGACATTTTTGAGAACATGGGCTTATTCTGAGCAGCCAAACCCGAATAGTCGTTGTCCAGCATACACAGAACAAACTGTTGGCGGGCTATTCGAATATTTGCAACCTAAGTCGGTCTACAGGTATTTAAACAGATTGTTGTCGGTCTGTTCGTGAAGCTCAGCAATTGGCTTCCAGACTATTTGCCGTCAGACAAGGAGATAGTACGAGTGTGCCTCAGTGATGTGGCCGAGATTGGTGGCGGAACGTTTCAAAGCCAGCTGCTAGGGTCACCATCCATCCGATCAGCCAGAACTAACTGAAGAATGCTCGATATCAGCTAAGTTGCCCGACAAAAGGAAGTCACTGGCCAGGTCATCGCACAATACTTATCACTCGCTGGTTTCATTTTAAACTACTTTGTGCCTTCCCGTTTAGGACTACTGGTTACACAACAACGTGAAGCGTTTTAGCTTACATTTGGGAGTAACTGAAAATATGCGCAGCTACTAGCTATTGGTATTACGTGCGACTGTTTTGCTTTGAACAAATGCACAAAACAGACAAGAGTAAAATCCTTGTCTAACGTCGGCTAATATGTATATAAAATAAATGGGTTCAAACTCATAGTCTTTCATTTTTAAATATTTGAGATGGGGGCAGTGGGCACAGATTCAGATACAAAGTTTTGTTTAAACTTTGAGAAGTCCTTAACTTCTTGACGGATTTTATCCGATGTTATCTGCTGTACAATTATTCGTTGTGATGGGTGGCTGGTACATTTATGGGAAATGTATTAAGGTTGATTGGTTCACCCCAAAGACCTTGGATATCAGACAAACTATTTGGAGGTCGTACAAATCAGTTACTCGCATCTCCTCAGACGATATTAATCTATGTCGCCCGCCCAGTTTGCCGCCTATTTTCATTTTCATTGGTATCCATAGAGATGTGAGGCGTGATGCTACATTGTTTGGGTTTTCTTTTGACAGATATCTGTTTGTTATGCAATTCCACACTACTCAGTTGCCATTTCCGAATATGAAGATCCCACTCACTCGAGGTGCGTTCGATTGCATGCAACTGACATTTAATTGTGTTGTACGTCGATTCACAATTAAAATTTGCTGTAATCTGCTCATGTGTATGAGCGCAATACTTGAGGAAAAATATAAAGAATCACCACAGCAAGCGCTTTTCTTTTTTATTAAAGCAGAATTGTGAGAAATGCAGTTTCATGCATCCTGAGTGCTGTGAATGATCTTTAAGGTCCTTACTCCAGGATATTCGTGTACTCATTTGACACGCGCAATCTAATCAAAGGTATTAATTATCGCGATTAACACCGAGGGATAAAGCTTGTAAACCGCCTGCATTCCCATGAAATCTCGCAGAAAAACAGTACTCCTTTCTCAAATGCACTACAATGCCAGTTCCATGTCCTGGATGATGGGTGGTTCCACCCAAGATGTGCCTTAAACTAATTCTTTGCATGATATTAGTAGTAGGGATAACATAAGATCAATCATTTCGGAGTAGGCTGAGCTCACGATGACCCAATGGGTGGGACGGGGGATTATTGACCGGAATATATTTGGACTAAATCCAATCCCAGAATCTCTACTCTACCTGTCTAAGCTAGGATGTTGTCGCGTTATCTCAGCCCTCGTGCGTGCATCAGCCAACCTCGCAGCTAGGTATCAGATCAGTGTCAGAACTGAACAATTATTACTATTTTATTGGATGGGTATCTGTTGATGTCATCTTGTGTTAACGGCCAAAGCGGTAATTGTTTTCGCTGAGGGACGCCATGTATACAGTTTGCTCGGTCTGACGTCTCCTCAAGAGGTAGCCTATCTGTCCCAGATGCAAGAGCCACACTCTACTGTGCCAGAAAAACATACATTCTTTTATCTTTCCACGCCAACTTCGTCACTGGTGTGCTTGTAAATTTACCACTCCCAACCTTCAAATGCTTTTTGGTAGAAACTTCCTAGATATCAATTACGCAGACGAAATAGCTTCTCCTTTACCTAACGACATAATGCAAATTAACAATAATAAGTAATAATCTTGACTGAATAGTTCCACCTGACGATTTTACATGCGCTTCACACCTGCAGATTGTAGAGTGCTGATGCAAGATTGGCTGAGCTCGAACCCTAGACCTGGGCTTGCGGATGAGTCTACTGAGGGAATAGACAGCTTCATCAGTCGCGGTGATCCAGCCAAGGACAATATATCTATCCAAATTAGGAAAGCCACAGCAACTTGTGTGAACTTGCGTCATCTGTTGATTAGGACTGACACCAGCTATTCCATCACCAGTCGAGCTTAAAATGTTTGAGAGCTCTCCACATTGTTATGTGGACCAGAAGCCTGGTCTCGGCTAGCTGAGAACGTCAACAGCTTCCAGTGGTTTTACCATCAACGTCTTCGGAGCATTGTCTGATTTGGGTGGCAACATATTCAGTAATGCTGAAGTATGTCAACTGTATTCTGAAGGGTGTAACGTGTCCACAACTGATCACAAATTGCGCTAATTCAGCTACGTGCTCCATCCGTCAATTGACTGACTACACCGAGAGCTCATTTTGTTTCAGTTTACGAAGGACAGGAGTAAGTCAGCGAAGGTCAGACTTTTACCAAGCAACGAATCATCAGATCTATTACCGGGAAACTCGACTGCGCTGCTTGGGGACCCAGAGATGGGCTACACCAATGGTTAGAGACATTGTCAAGTGAGGACCAGTCGCGCACTAATGATGGTCTATTACTGACCTCATTAGATTGAAAGAGGGGAGGAGTTATCGAGTGAACCTACGTCAGCGTAGTATTCGACACCCACAACATCAAGTCTTGGGACAATGGCCGCCAAAATATTACTCTAGTGACTGTAACATATTTAAAAACATTATTCCGCAATATTCCAGACAACATCTTCATTAAGATGTTCGCCTGATTGCATGAACTGTTTAAATCGTTCAAATCTGAAACAAGCATGAGGTACTGATAGATATGACGCTTCCTTGCTTTGTGGCCTTCTGTTATCCACACCTCACTCCTACCCAGTCTGAAACAGTTGAACGCGATATGCTTTCTTGGTGTGTCTGATGCGGCACAGATACAGGCGCTGTCAGTCAATTAGACATCATGGTCACTGGGTACTAGAGTGCAGACTGATCCACTATGCTCACAGATATAACCGAACGTAGAATCTGCTTTACCCGCTAGTTTTTCGTAGCACGTTTCTCCTCGTTACTCCAGATTGACCCCACAAAACGCGAAAAATCTAGTGTTTGCAGCTAACTCAACGGGGTGGAAGCCCTGTAGTATCCATTTGGCAGTGAATAGAATCACGACTAGACATTTGCCGTTCAACAGTCCTTGGCTGTTGCACTCTTTTTCCCTTCTGTTGCTTAGCATAATTCACACAGGGCAGGTAAAATTAAAGCACTTAAAACAATGTACTGTAGTAAATTCTTTGGGAGCGTACTATCGCTATGGGACATAGTCCAGCCTCTGAATCTCACTTGCTTATGACTTCAGTTTGAAGGGAGATTTTGAAGGGATAGATTGCACAATTTCTCGTTTGTGCTCTTCCCAGGCCCTGTTTCTGAGACTTGTCAGTAGGTCATCAGGCAGGCAAACGGTTCATTTCCCAACTACTCATGAGTAGATGAGATAAGGTGCTTCATTTATTGCCACACTGGTAAGCTTCAAGGGGCGAGTCGGTTGCGGGAATACTCTAGAAGTTCTCCACTGAAGTCCCGTGTATTCGATCCCTATTTGTCTGTTTTCCTCTTGTTACGTAAGTTAATTATACTGGACTAAGTACCGTTAAATCAACATAGAAGATTTGACACGTGGTTGGTAGGCGTGAAAAGTACCTGACCTATAGAGAGGATAGATTTTCGGATAGTTAGATCGCTCATGAAGACCTTCAACTTGACAATAAGCCACGTCCCGATAGGCAGTATATTCGCTGTGAAAGGTGAAAAGAAAAAACATCTTCTGCGACACCGTCCGTTAGCAAACACCAACTATTCGGTTACAGTCTTTTGGGCAGGAAACGCGAACGTCTCATATGCTCATAGTTTTACAAGCCTAGCATTTTCAAACGTATTCCTTAACTTTAATGGATATTCACTGACCAAAACGGATACTACAAAGCTGTTCCACAAATAACGTAGTAAACTTCCTCTTCCACTAAACGAGGGGCCTAGCTTCGACACGATCACAGAATGCTCGCATACCTCATCAGTAGTATGCGCCGTTACACGTGATAGTGTGCGCGTATTCCTATAGCACATTACCTATAGCATGGCCACCCAAATGAAGCAACTGCATTTAGTCAGTCGCAAAAAGTCAATATGGTGTCCTCTATGAAACAAGTTTTCAGAATCCTGGGATCCAGATTTAAGGAAAAGCTACCTCTCAAATTGGGCATATACACAGGCACTTAACCGAGGGAAGAAATCCTTAGTAAAGTGTAAGAAGAGGGAAAGGTAAGGATGTTGCGCATATAAAAAGCGGTCAAAGGTAAATGAACTTTATCTTTAAACGGCATTATATTGGACAAATCTGAGTACGATGTCAGTCCAACCAGACTGACTAAACCGCCATTGCGAATCTCACCTGATATGAGGCCGGTGCACAACGACATTCAGACATTGGTTAGGCATTCGGGATATTAGATGACAGTCTGAATGCCACCGGCATCTGTTGCTCACGATATTGTGCACGGTCTCCATCCAGGCGCAGGTATGACCATTTGGGTTCCAGTCAGGATGGAGCACAATTTCTACAGTACGGAGTTTAATCGTAACTGCTTAAATTGATATCGCATGGGATTAAAAAGCCTTTACGTCATGTAAAACGGCAATAGTATGAACTATGGACATATGAAGCATTTTCTATGTTTGGCTTGATTTCGGACAACTAGTTCCTATTGATTTCGGTTTAAATAGCTAAGTGGTTAGGGCGCGAAATTACTGATCAAATAGTGCTTGATTTAACTACTTACTTACGCGCTTGGGTAACCGGTAAATATCACAGCATATGCTATTTTTGGGTGTCACTGCAAATCGGAACCTGAATCAAAAAGCAGCAGAAATATTGTTTCAATAATCCATGGGATACAATGAGCGCCGGGAACGTCCTAGATAGCAGTTGGTTAGTTCCGGGAACCGGTGGATACGCACAATCCCCGATTCCTCTGTCGGGATTCCGCAGGCTATCTATTGTCACCGACCTGCTAAATCCCTTTGTTGAGTGTACCCAGCCTGGTCCTCGGTTGCTTTCCCTGGTAATGGCGACACACTAAACCAACCAAGAATAGTTTGGTGAGATTGCGTTGATAATCTCTTGTTTCTTTATTTTGGGCCTTTTAGTTAAGTAGCGTTTTAACATCGGAACCCATTCGGCGTTCAGTTAATGGAGGGATGGACCCGAAAGATAGATGGAAACTTGCGGATGGCTTTGAAAAAGTAGTTATCTCACCGATCCAATATTCTACATGAGAATCTGGCAACTTTTCAAAAACCCGTCAAGCAAAACATATTAGTAGCTTTTTTATTTTCTAATTCAAATGCTGCTAGTGGACATTACACTAACTTTTTTTCTTGAATCACTTTGTTGTGGCTCTTTTCCTTGTCCAGCGATAAATCTAACCCAGTGTAGCTTAGTCTAATATATCCATAGGTAATTTGGGACAAGGTGATGCTGAAAGTAACAATGTAAGTAAATAAATATTATTTTAGGCAGCTCACACTAAAATGCGGAGAGCATGAGAGCGTTTGTGTGAATTTACAGTGAACATATGCGATAGGCCTTCCTTAGGGGAACCAGTGAAACATTTCGTAGATAACTGGTGAATAGTACCCAAATATATTCTCACTGTAATCAGGTTCTCGAGGGTAAGAATGCAACTGATTTTCATCTGTTGTCAACTTGGATTGTAGTGAAGTGGACACATTCACTGAAAGTTTACTTCCCGCCATTGTGTCTATTTGTGTTCCGTGTACATTCACCAAACACATTGGTAGAGCTTTCGGCTTAGGGTCCAATCCAGATAATTCAAAGTCGTACTAGGTTCTCTCTCGGACATTGTGAGGATGTATGCGAAATATAAGCACATCTCAGCTGTGCTTCATCTAGCCCTCTGTGTGC